TCAATTCTGGTAAATTCTCACATTATTATCTCATCAAATATTGAATATGTTCTAGTCTTTCCCTTTTTTTCCAAAATTCTGATTAGATATATGTTAGATTTCTTACTCTAGCCTTCACATTTCTTTATCTCTTTCACAGTTCTTTCTTTTTTGTCTATGAGTGATGAAATCTGGACATTTTCTTCTGTCTTTATCTTTCGGTTCACTAATTCTCTCTTCAGAGGTGTCTAATCTCCCATGGGATTTTTTATATTTTTTATCCTCACCTGAAGACATTTTTTGCATTCATCTTCAGACAGAGTGAGAGGGAGGAAGAGAGAGAGAGAGAGATTGATGTGAGAAAGACACATCGAGTGGCTGCCACCCACACAACCCCAACCAGGGCCGGGGACACACCGCAACAGAGGTACATGCCCTTTGCGGGAACCAAACCCGGTTCTCTCCGGACCGTGGGCCGATGCTCTAACCACTTGTAGACCTGCCAAGGCTATTTTTTTTTTTTTTTTTTTAACAATTGTTTCTTTTTTTTTGTTTTTGTTTTTGCTTGTTTAGAAGAGCTATTTGGTTTTCTTTCAAACATGCTGGATCATTTAAAATGTTTTCTACTGTGTATAAATTTTTTAGCTTTTTACTTCTTTAAACATAGTGGGGATAGTTGTTCTAAAATCTGTGTTGGATAGTTTTTGTGTCTGAGTATTCGCAGATCTGTTTCTGCTGGGTCCTAGTTTCCTTGTGTAGTTTCAAGTTTCCTACTGTAAGCTGCTCGTGCCCTGGGGAACTGGCTTTGTGAATACTGACAGGCCTCAGCGGGAGTCCTCTGTCGGGGGCTTCTGTTTGTCTCTGCCATGAGGTGTTCCCTGCTGGAGGCCACTGTACTACATTCCTCAGCTGAGGAGCTCTGTGCCATACAGACAATGGAATTCAGACTGCAGATCTATGGAGAGCTACATCTGCAGGGTTAGTTTGTTGTTCTGATGCTCAACCCTGGGGAGAGTTTGCTTGTATCCCCCTAACACTGAGGAGGATGGAGCTGATTTCCTCCGGCTCCTCCTCCCACTGAGGGGGGCCCTCTGGCGCCCCAGCTTGAAGAGTGGGTGGTGGAGCACTGGACACCCCACCTGGGCAGCCTGAGCTGTGATTTCTCCTCCCTACAGTCTGAGAGCTGGAAACTGAGGCTCCCGATCCCCAGGGACAGACGCCCTTGAGGCAAATGCAGCTTCTGCTCTGCTTCCCCAGGCTTCCTTGTTCGCTTGGATTTGAACCCGGTAATTCCCAATGTTTTGTCACATTTATGGACTTTTTTGTATTTTATTCAAATTTTTAGTTGTAATCAGCAGTAAGTTTGGCTATAATACTTTAACCTGCCGTAACACCAGAGGTGGAAAGTCACGTGATCTCCTTCCTTCTGTCCGTGTCTCTCTCCCTTACAATGGTGCCTGGTGAGGGTTAGTACATAAAATCTCTTCCTTCCTCCGGCCAGGACTGACAGCTATATTTTTAAATGAACCTTAGAATCACCCCAAAACCATATAATAAATAATCAATTCCTGATTATGACATTTAATTTTTACATGATAAATTCACATAAATAACTTGTCTCCTTTTTGTGTTTTGCTGATTCACTAATCTCTTTCTCTAATCTTGGATGAGTCTCATATATGGTTTATTTTATTACTTAGTCATTATACTATTAAATCTCAAAGTGCTAAGTTCTTCTTCCTTATATTTTGTTTTCAGACTTTTAAAGCTATTAGCTGTCATTCTTTGTTTATTATTATTATTATTGATCTTAGAGAAAGGAGAGATGGAGAGAGAGAGAGAGAGAGAGAGAGATAGAGACATCAATGTGAGAAACATTAATCAGTTGCCTCCCGAACACACCCTGACTGGGGGTTGAACTTGCAACCTTTTGGTTTATGGGACAATGCTCCAACCAACTGAGCCACCTGGCCAGGGCTAACAGCTATATTTTTAAATGAGCCTTAGAATAGTTTCTCCAAATTATAAATAAAATTATTTTGTAATGGTTTTGAACTATATTAAACCTATAAATGTATTAGAAAGAAATGACACTTAATAAATCTCAGCTCTCCTACCCCCAAATCAGGTTATGTCAATTTATTACCACTTATTTGTAACTTCATTTACATTTTAATAGACTGTTATAGTTTTCTTTATTTCTGACACTACTTGTTAAAATCATTCCTATGGTCAATTCACATATTTTGTTTCTATTGTCAGTTAGATCATGTTTTCATTACATTTTTAAGGTTATTTTTGATGTGTTAGAATGTTCTTGCTTTTCTAAATTTTCCTGTCTCTGGTGGCATGTATGAGTTCTCTTACTAATCACGGTTGCCTGTAATAAATGTTCCTGTGCATTCTGTTTGAATGCAATAATGCATCTACTTGTTTCTCTTTCAGGACGTAGGCTAGCCACAACTTCCAAAACAATATTCAGTAATATTAATATTTTGCTCCTTATTTTGGTGGTGAGTCCATGCATGTTTAACTAATAGATATATTAGCTCTCAGTATATGAAGCGTTTTCAATCCATGCTCCTACCCTAAGAAGCAGCTTAGCAAGCAGGGGTCCAGCGCTATGCAGCCAGAGCTGGGGGGGGGGGGGGTCTGGATGATCAAACTGGTTTAAAAGAAGCTGTTTGAACTGTACAAAGAAAATTAAGTAGTTTTGTTTGTTTAATTTTTGTTTGTTTGTTTGTAAGAACTGAGGAAAACAGATACAAGAAAACAGCAATCTGACTGTGAGGAAGGTGCTGAAGGCGATGACGATGAGCAGGCGAAGCCCGGAGACGGTGCTGAGGAGGCACCCGGAGAAGATGAACTTGGCCAACTCTAGTGAAAGTCTGAATTTTATTAACTATTGAATTCTGGCATTAAGCATTGTGTGCATAGCTTATGTTGCTCAGATGGAAATGGATAAGCTCCAGGTATCTCTGTTTCTAGATTCTTATCCCTTAAAGCTCAGTTTGTGGGTCACCTGAACAGAATAGCAGCAAATACGCAGATCCCAGGGCCATCATAGCTCCAAGGGTGAGAATAGGAAGAGAGGATGGAAACTGATCTAATGAGGTCTTCTCATACAAACTCGAATTTAAGGAGAGAGAGAGAGAGAGGGAGAGAGAGAGGATATGAGACGATCAGAGAAAGACACAGAGAAAATCGGAGACAAGGAGGGAATTTTATACTCACGCTATGGCACAAAAGGTATTATGCATCGAACTGCAGAAGCGGAATCTGATAGCCCCATTAAAACATTGTAATTAGACCAGAAGACTCTCCAGAGAAGTGAACATACATCCCATTAAATCTCCTACAAGGATGTGGTCTACCTCGTGTGAAGCAGTTCAAAGTGTAAAGAAACCGAGCAAGGCAACCCCTGCCCAGCACTTCTAGTTACACTAAGGAAATGCTCCAGCTTCAGCCTGGCCAACTCCTCGTCGCATTTCCCCACGCTTCATGCATCACTGTCACTACAATAAAACAGAGAGCACCTTCGTCGGCCAGGAAATTGAAGATGATTTGGGGGGACGGATTTTCTCAGATACCCATGGGAAACTTCTAGATAGATTCTGGACCTCTGTGGCTTTCACAGAAACTGCTCTGGAAGATGGTTTGACCCCGTCCCCGTGAGTCTCTCTGCAGACAATGTTTGAATGTCAAGTGTCTTTCTTCTTCATTAGCTGCTGTCTCAGCCGCCCTAATTGCTTCACTTTTACCCTTTTAAACATGCCCCTGCTTTTAAAGTTAAGGAGCCATACCCTTATTCACAGTAAGTGACTTGTGGTTGGAGTCCCTCGTGATGATAAACAAGCCCCAATGCTTTGCCTTGAATTGCGACCACACTCAAAGGCGCTGGAGCTGAAATGAATTTTTAAAAATGTGATCATGTTGGGTGTGAGTCCTACACACTGTCTTGAAATGGTGGGTAGCAATTTAAGTCACCTAAAGTCAGTGGAAAGTACTGAGCGCCTGCTGTGCCGTGGAAACAGGACAATGAGACGTGGCCCTGGCTGGAGGAGCCTGCAACCATTCACTGCTTTCCCTCGCATCTGCTATCCCCACAAAACACAGGAACGCACGACCCGAAGTCACCACGCTGCTCCAAGGTCAATACTCAGACAAACGGGAGAGTACCTGACCAACGAGCATTGCGTTTCAAAGTACTCATGTTTGGGTTTTGATGCCAAGGATACCCCTGCTCAAAGGGTGTGTGAAATGCTCCCACGCCATGTTCCTGGTGAACAAAGAAACTGCATCATCCTTTTATTCCTTGGACCCTCCCTCCCTTCCTTCCTTCCTTCCTTCCTTCCTCCTTCCTTCCTTCCTTCCTTCCTTCCTTCCTTCCTTCCTTCCTCCCTCCCTCCCTCCCTCCTCCCTTCCTCCTTTCCTCCCTTCTTCCCTCCCTCCCTCCCTCCTTCCCTCCCTCTTCTCCTGTCATGTGCTCCAGCCAGTATGGCTGTGCCCTTCTCCAACTCCAGACATAAGTCTAGAGCCCGAGGGCTGCTCAAGAGGGCTGTGCAGATGGCTCCTCCAGCCAACAGACCCTGGGAGGAGCATCTGCCCGGCATGAGGCGGACGAGGAATGTGGAGAGGCCCACGGGGCGCATCAGGACGCAGTTTGGCCGTATGCTTATCTGAGAAGCTACTGGTGGGCAGCTGGCCTGCTGCTTGGTGCCGGCGGGGGGTGAACCGCTGCGTGTGGTCCACTGGGACACCCAGATGCACTGCCAGCACCAGGACCAGCGGAGCACCTGTAGCCATGCACAACGTCCGCCCCTGAGAGGCTCCAGAAGGTGCACACCCGGCAGGCGGCTGCTCGGCCAGGTGCCAAGTTGAGGCCAAGACCGGCACCCTTTCTGCACTAGTAGCTCTCGGGCACGGCCAGCTACCGCCCCTCCGAGAAGCCGGTTTGCAGCAAGTCCCATGCCCCCCCCCTGCAGGGCTCCCACACACGGCACGCAACACCAAGGTCTCACCACCGAATCTTTCATCTTCTCGGGCAGAGGGTCTGCAGCCAGCTCCTCCAGGTTTTGATGTAAAAATTTAGGGAACCATTTGCATTGAATAAAGGACCTGAAAGTGGAAACACGCACAGGTTTTACTTCTGAAATATGTGCCCATTACAGTGTTTGAGGTAAACAACCTCACTTTAGGCCTCACATTCACACTGGCAAAACGAGGCCCTCTCCTTCACAATAAAGGGAAAACGGTACATATTCAGGTCATCACAAAGATGATGTTTTCTTTTCTTTCTTTTTTTGTTAATCCTCACCTGAGGATATTTTCCCATTGACTCTTAGATAGAGTGTAAGGGAGGGACAGAGAGAGAGGGGAAAATGGTGATGAGAGAGACACATCAACTGGTTGCCTCCCGCACAACCCTGGCCAGGGCTGGGGATCAAACCCAGGCATGTGCCCTTGACTGGGGATCGAACCCATAACCCTTCCATTAGCAGGTCAAACTGGCCAGGGCTGGTGTTCTACTTTCATACTCCACCCTATTAAGGCAGGAGGGATGGACACCCCAACTCTCAACAGGTAACTAAGCTCAGGGTGACTCCCCACTTCTGCCAGCCCAGCAGGTTCCATCCTCGTAGAAAATGCCAGCAAAACCCAACATTCCCGTCAAGTATGTGCCGTGAAAAATTGTGCAAATCGTAGTTACCTTTGCCCAATTCCCTGCCTTTCACTGTGTCACATCTGACCACCTCGGACTAGGGTTTCTCTGGCCCCAAAGGGCCATGGTTTCCTCCCACCAAAGTCTTCCCCAAGTGTGGACACATTGCCCAAGATGACTGGCACCTGATGGCGACCCATTTACTGATAACGGAAACTCAGCCTCACGCAAAGGCTTCTCAGTGTTAAAGTGCGTATGTACCAAAGACTTTAAAATTTGATTGAGGGGAGGTTAGGAAGGATACTTCCGAGTGACTAAGGACTATTATTAAACCCCTGGCGGGCAGTTTCACTTTAAACCCAGAGGGCGCTGGCTCGTACTGGGAACAAAAAGCAAAGGAGCAAAACCTTTCCTTTCCGAGGGGCCAAGCCAGGCTCCCCAGCGTGACCCCTGGAATAAAGGCAGTGCTGCCACTTTGTGGGCGCAAAGAAGGTCCTCGCTGGGGCAGCGCTTGGCTGTGGCTCTCCCTTGTCCCTGCATCTGTCCTTGCGTCCTGAGCTGAGCTCCAGCGCACAGAGTGACAGAAACAGCCACTGGAGCTCAGGGGCTTCTGGTCAACCTGCATCCACATCCACCCCCCGCTCCTGCCCAGGGACCAGCTAGAGAGGGTCCAACCACACTGGCCCTCAATAGCCGTTCCCCATTGGTAAGAGTGCAAGGCTACAGGAACCCACGCGCTGTGTGTGCATGGGTGTGTGTGCATGTGTGCATGGGTGTGTGTGCACGTGTGCGTGCGTGTGTGCGTGCGCAGGTGTGTGTTACAGCTGTGTGCACTGCGTTACCATGCGGGGTGGTACTCACAGGAGCACAGATGGGTCGCTGCTCTGCCTGCTCAGATGGTAGGAAAGCGACACCAAGAGGCCACAGAAGGCTGAGAACAGCGCCGGGATGTGCTGTGTGCTCCACGGTTCCTGAGGGAGAGAGGCAGACGGCGTCACCCACGCGGGGTGCGGGCAGCAGGTGGGCCTCTATGAAGCGCGTGGGCAGCGTCCTCAGGCCCTGCTGGATGGATGTGTGCCCTGTAATCACCTCTGCGGTGGGCACCGCACCCGGCGGCCATGGGGACCTGGCCTGTTCTCGTCCAGAGATCCTGACCAGGGCGGGCGGCGTGGGCACCGCGCAAACTCCTGTACACATTTCTGAGGGTACATTCACTTAATCTTTTCTGAAATTAAGTTCAGGATGTATACAAAACGGAACATTAAACACGTTGCCTCCTTTGAACTCGCTATCATCAATCGTGACCTATCATCAGTGCTAACATACCCGGCCTTTCGGCCACGTCAGTGGCGTCTCGTCTTCTGGAAGCTGAATCTGGGCGGGGACTGAACGCTTCTCCCTCCAGACCTGAGGCCCAGCCCACCGCGTGTTGTGTGTGAGAAGGATGCATTGTTAATCACGCTCAGGATCAAGCACACGCCGGTCAGCGGTGCCCACGTCACATGGCTACAATGCGTGGAAAAGCCACGTTGTCCCGGGCAGAGAGCGCCACCGTGTTCCCGCCAGCCTCACCTTCTCAGAAACGAAAAGCACTTTCTTTCTCGCCCCAACAGGGAAGGTCTGAGATCCCGAGAGAAGCATCTGGAAGGAACTAGGCGGTGAGCCTGGAGCTAAGAGCCACTATTCTGCCACCCGCCCGCTGGGCGACGCCCTTGCTGGTCTGTGGTTGATCCTCACACGTGGCCGATACGGCTTCACTGCCCCTCCAATCTGTCCCTTCCTTTCGTTGTGTCCTGCTGGGCGAGGCTCCCACAGTCTCGGTCCATCGTGGGAACATGGAGTGCCCATCCCCACACCCCTCCCCCACTCCATGGGCCCTGGGGTTCACCCTCCACGTAGCCAGAGTGGTCTCTCAGCAACGGCAATCAGCCTCATTACTGTCCTCCACTCGGTACTTGTCAATGACTCCTCACTGACTACCTAATGAAATCCACTCCGCAGGAAGCTGCACCAGCCACGAGGATCTGGCCCGCGTCCGACGTTCCGGCCCCACTCCTCGCGTTTAGGATTGACGGCCACAAACCACGAAGACACACTGCTCCCTGCCCCTGCTTTGCAGACAGGGCGCCCTCTGCACAGAGGGCTCTCCCACACGCCCGCCCCCTCCGCTCTGCCAGCTGACCGCCCCGGCTTCCCAGGAAGACTTCCTGGCCCCTGCTACGTGCCAGGCACCAAGGAGAGGGCCCGTGAGGAAGGCAGACACAGGGAGCACGGTGAGAAACCGGCAGGAATGACGAGCGACGCCGCAGACGCAGGGAGCACGGTGAGAAACCGCAGGAATGACGAGCGACGCTGCAGACACAGGGAGCACGGTGAGAAACCGGCAGGAATGACAAGCGACGCCGCAGACGCAGGGAGCACGGTGAGAAACCGCAGGAATGACGAGCGACGCTGCAGACGCAGGGAGCACGGTGAGAAACCGCAGGAATGACGAGCGACGCCGCAGACGCAGGGAGCACGGTGAGAAACCGCAGGAATGACGAGCGACGCCGCAGACGCAGGGAGCACGGTGAGAAACCGCAGGAATGACGAGCGACGCCGCAGACACAGGGAGCACGGTGAGAAGCCGGCAGGAATGACGAGCGACGCCGCAGACACAGGGAGCACGGTGAGAAACCGCAGGAATGACGAGCGACGCCGCAGACGCAGGGAGCATGGTGAGAAGCCGGCAGGAATGACGAGCGACGCCGCAGACACAGGGAGCACGGTGAGAAACCGCAGGAATGACGAGCGACGCCGCAGACGCAGGGAGCACGGTGAGAAACCGCAGGAATGACGAGCGACGCCGCAGACGCAGGGAGCACGGTGAGAAGCCGGCAGGAATGACGAGCGACGCCGCAGACGCAGGGAGCACGGTGAGAAACCGCAGGAATGACAAGCGGCGCTGTGGCACGGAGCTCGGCCGGGTGCGTGCGGAGCAGGCCGCAGGCTCGCTGAGCCCCGAGTGTGGTGAGGGTGGGGCCGCACACCGGGAAGCTCAGGAGAACACGTCCTCCCTGCAGGGCTTCTAGGAGAGGCAAGCTCAGTGCCGAGGTGCCCGTGGACGGATGGGACTGTCCGCGTCCACCCTACACACACTCCTTCACTGCTGCCTGGCCACCGCCACGGCCGCTCCCCTTCATCTTACACTTGGCTGGCACAAAGTAAAATATGAAAACGAGCAAACCTCCAAAACAGAAAACCTGTTCAATCTGCCTCCTTCCACTGATTCCTCTGTGCTTGCCCACGCTGAGTATTTCATTCACCGTCTCGTGCAGCCCAGAAAAATGCAAACGCAGGGAAAATCACTACGAGCAGAATTCAGGAACCTTGACATTGGAAATCATTGTCGTTGCAGGACACGGGAAAGGTCGGGGGACTGGTGCTGCAGGGGTTGATTCGCGGCGCATCACCTCCTGGAATGAATGATTCTGTGGAAGGCGCTACACTTCTCAGGGGCTCGGCCTCCTCTTCTATAAAACAGTGACAAGGACCTTCTTGAAGAATTGCATTAATGACTTTATGAGATCTGAAACCGCCTTGCACACCGCAAAGAAGTATGTCGATGCTAGTTTTTATTAATTGAAAAAAAAAAAGTACCCTTGATGGATGGTCTTCGCACACAATACACTGAAGCCAGACTAAACATAGTTAAATAATTGCTCACCTACTTTTATTTGCCCGGTACCCCTCCCCGAATTCTTCTCTCCCTTACTCTCTCTGTGATTTAATCCCTTCAATGCAAACACGAATGCACAGCCAACCTCATTATGCTGAGGGCCCTCCCTTCTCAGCTACTAAAACAGCAGTTGGTCGGAAAGGGCGTAGTGGGGTCAGAGTGAGTGCTGTCCCCTGCCTCCCCCTTCCCAGCCCTCCTCTCGGCCAGTGACGCACGTCTGCCTCGGTGACGGTCTGCTGGGCATCTGACCCTCCGGGGTGGAGCCCTGGCGAGCAGGGCCCGTCTGTACTGCCCAGGGGTGGGAACACCTCATGGGCTGGGCCCTGATGGGCATCCACACTGTGCACACAGAACCAGTGCACCAGATCCCAGAGCCTGTTCCTTACTTTGCAGCGCACACCAAAGGGTAACGGCACAGATCACGGCATCCCCGTGTCCACCAGCGCAGACCAGGTTGCTCTTCCCCGGGCGGAGCAGGACTAAAAGCATGGCGCTGGCCGAGGTCTGCCCTGTTCAGTCCCAACTCAGCTGAGTCTCAGTACCAAGACACTGGACAAGCTAACAAGCCTCGGTTTCCTTATCCAAGATTATGAAAAAGTCACCCCCCATAGGATTGCTGTAAGTATTACATGAGTACTGTGTGTTAAATACTTAGTGGAATAGCCAGTATCAAATGCTCAACGAATGTCTGCTATTACTAAATGCTTTACTAAGACGCTGGTTCAGTCCAGTCGGCTGCTGTAATAGAATACCACAGGGGACTGAGCATTGAGCGAAGTCACATTTCCTGAAAAATTAGGATCAGCGTTAAGAATGGTCCTTCTCTAGGAGGCGATGGAGGAACAATGGTTTCTCTAGATTCCATGTATTCTTCTGTTTCCGTACAAGACAGAAATAATGAAACAGGAAATCGACGCATGTGACTCCGATTTGCCGAGACTCACCCACTGAACTGACGGACCTCGTTGGGGGTAATTCTCGTGTGTTTAAGCTGCCACGTTCCTTGCGTGTCCTATTGTTAGTCAAAGTCTGTATTCATTCTTCCACACGTGATTCTTTCAGGCATAACCCATAGCGTCAGGATACAGTGTTAGAGGCAAATGAATGGCAGTGCCCACAGAGGCAGGGGTGCTTCCCTCAACAAGGTAAGAGCAAAGCGATGCCGGAACGACAGCCAATCCTCCCAGAAGGAGGGTGCGCTGCAGGGCGGCCCCTCCACGCTCCCGGCGCTGGTCTGCACGCTGTCCAGCCCGGCCTCCGACTCCACATAACTCTTAGAAATAACCATGGCTGACCCGAGTTTGGACAGATTATAAAAGGGCAGACCACCTGGATTTCCTAGCTTGCCTACTAGAAACACCAAGCTCCAAGTTCTTAACCTTGTTCATCTTTTCAACAGACACAGTTATTTACATAGAATATAGGAGGCAATTTCTCAAGGAAGCAAGGATAGGAAAGACTCCTTGGATGTCAATATCAGTTATTCTTTCCTGTGCCAAGTACCAAATTTGCAAAACCATATCATCTTCAGGAAAGATTATTTTAGATTTGAAAGACACCTCGCAGCTGAGCTAGCCTAACCCCTTCAAATTACTGATCACTAAGAATTCAGGAAGAGTGGAAGAGACCCACCCGGGATGGCGAGACGGGACCCCGCCCTGCCGTGTCTCTGCACTCCGGCACCCTGACGTCTGTGCCGCTCACTGTGCAAAATGTGCCGACATCTCACCACCTTCCACCCAGTAAGAGTTGGCACGTTTGAATAATCACCCACCCACCGCCATGCCGTGGTGTTGGCCGTCTATTCTGTAACTGCGGCTTTGGTGCTTGTTGTAACAGGGCACAGTGACGGCCCAGACGAAGAAGTGATCTGGGAGGAGCTCAGGGGCAGCTTCATGGAGGACCAAGCAAGGACTGGGTTTGCAAAGGTGACTAAGAATGAACGTGGGAGAGCGCAATCCAGGAATGAAGCGGTGTGATGCCTGAGGCTGCGTGAGCCTGCCCTCACGCATGGGCCTGGTAATGCTGCAGGAGGATACAGCTGTGTGATTCTAATGCTGCAGCTCTTAAAGAGATACGGAGTTTACAGGAATAGATAAAAGAGTGGGAAATAAGCTTGAAAGAAATACACTGAAGGCAAATGACCTGTACAGTTTATCATCTCAGAACTTTCTGCACTGGGAAGGGAGGCAGCTGGGTGCCATCATCTCTGCAGATCAAACAAAAAATATGCTTCAACCTCAACAGTGGAAT